AATAGAAGGATTGTACTGGATCAATAGCCTCCCATTTTGGAAGAAACTCCACATTCTCATAACTTCAAGTAGGAAAACTCATGCTTCCCTTTCTCTTTGATGTACGATTTTTCTCAGCTTGGAAGTTGACCTTTCTATCCAATCAGATAGGTAATGATTTTCCCTTATCTTGCAAGAACTTTCTACTCCAAAACACAATCATTCTTAAGTGCCTCCCCCTCAATGAACAAATCATCAAGTGTGGGAAGTACATCATCATGCTTATTCTCTTCATCTAGCATGGAAGGCTCAAAAGGCTTCAAACTTTTAGCATTCACCATAGAATAAATCTGCATATATGCAGTCAACTCAAGTTGATAAGCAATGTCTCCGTACTATTTCAAAAAATTTAAATGGACCATATCGGATAGGTTTGGTTTTCTTTTCTTCACCTTTTAGCCTCTCATTGTTCAGTCAAAACCAAACTAAACTACCCACTTTGTATTTTGATTTAACTCAAAGCTTGTCTTTAGACCTTTGTTGAGTTTGCTGCAATTGCCCTTTAGTATCCTTATTCATTGTATTGGAATGTTCACACATCACCAAACTCCAAAGAGGTACATCAGACTTCAACTAATTTAGATGCTTGATAATACATTAGGTGGCAAGCTTCTTAGCTGTTGGTGTAAATCATCATACCCCTTCTTGCTTACTATTACTTGAAAATAAAGTGTGTGAGCCGTTCACTTCATTTGTTAATCTAACAAATAGTAGCACAAACTTCATGCCGGCATGTACCATACGTTTTGCTTGTGATGCAGTAACTAGAAAATAAGATCATCATCGTTCTTACTAGCATTGATAATAAACTCCTTGCCATCCTTAATAGACTTGTACTTCCTCAATGATAATGTATAGCATCCTTATCCCACAAATAAGTACTACTGAGCATCACAGAACATACATCAAGTGGGATGACTTCACATGTTACCTCATTAGTAAACTTATTCATGATTGAAAACTTGAGAGTGCAAAGCATGGTAATGCGCATCTCCACATCTTTTTGAATCCATCCCAATGGGTATGGTTTTGGATGTGGTGTCGTAGTCAATCCCATCTTTACCATCAAACCTTCTGAAATAAGATTCTTTTGACTACCCTAATCTACAATTGCTTCAATCACGCATTTCTTCACTTGTATTTTCAGGTAGAAAAGCTCATCTCACATCTTTGAATCATCATGAGTAGAGTTGCATGTCTTCATCGTTAAAGCAATCCTCTCATCGACTTTTGTAGTTCTGACAATTCCTCATGTCACCAACATGTAGTGTCACTTTTCTTTCCTTCTTCAATCACCTTTCTTATTAGCTCACGGGTTCAACTCGGGGTGAGGTACCCAATACTTCTCCATTGTATGACCACCTTTATAACAATGACCATGAAATTTTCTTTGAGTTGCATTATATTGGTTCTTACTTGATTCCTCTCGCTTCGCCTTGTTTGAGTTTGACTTCACTTTGAAATTATCATCTTTTCTTTCCTTCAATTGCAGTTGCCTTCTTGCTTGCTTCCTTAATATTGGAAACTAAAAATAAGTCCAACTCCTTCCAAATTAATTCGTGCAGTCCTCCAATGTACTTCATCAATTAAAGTTTTCATGCCCATCTATTAGTACTCCTAACAAGATAACTTGCTTATGAAACTTAGTAGCATACTCATACACTGATTGATCATACTTTTATTTAAGATATTGCCACTACATCCATCAGTCTTCTTCATCCTAAAGATAGTTAAAATATATTCCATTTAGGCTAATGATTCGGCTTGGAACAAAGAAGTGAACTCCCAAGGGCTGAACACTTCAAATGGGCCCAAAGTCGAGCTCACAACAAGCTGTAGCATAGCTCACCTAGAAGAATATGTGAACTCCGCCATATAGTTCATCTCAACTCGACCCGACCAAGTCAAGAGTGAGTCAACTCCCAAATCAGACTTCGGTCTGAGTCGAAAGGCATCATTATGTTTGCTAAGTAACGAGCCAAATTCTGTGCTAAATTCAAATTCACAAGTGAAGTTCACCAACCAATTAATTAGAGAACTTCGCTCACAGCTACCCACGTGGGCCATATGATCCAAGATTCATAAGATGGCTCACCCACATCTGCGTGACCTTTGCCCAAATGCCTTCAGCAAAGTTCGCCAACCAATTAATTAGCAAACTTCACCAATCAGCCATTTAAGAGCTATTCTTAAGGGGATAACCGATCCGCTACTATCTTCTATCTTGATGGCCACTTAATCCCTAATTAAAGGTTGTTAACTCTCTCTCTCTCTCTCTCTCTCTCTCTCTCTCTCTCTCTCTCTCCCCCCCCCCCCCCTCTCTCTCTCTCTCTCTGTCTCTCTCTCTCTCTCTCTCTCTCTCTCTCTCTCTTTCTCTTAGCTTATAAAATGAGAAGGAGATTGTTCATTCAACAATGACATTTATACATGCACACTGAGGCATACATACGTAGACACCAACCGAAAAATCGAACATCCCATACACGCACATTTTTCCCTATATTTTGGTTCTAAAAAAAGACTGAACTATCTTCCAAGCAACCAAATCAAAGACTAACAGTAAGAGACCCATCGTCTTAGTGAGACTATTAACGAAGTACAAGAACCCAGTTTAAATAATTTTTCTTCTTTCTTGTAGTTTCCCTTTAGCTATAATCTATGTTAATTATAATTCAAAGATTGAAATAGGACGGTGACTCCACTGGGGACTACTTTCTCCTTCGACGAGAAAAATTGTTACAGTCTAATACTAAAACACTTAGGTCTTTTGTAAGTCGATAATAATAGAATTTGACCAAGTGAAGTTCAATGAATTCATTTCCTCGAACCAATCATTAATGACAACTGTGTGAAGCTGTAATAAAATTCACTGAAGTGTGAACTTAGGGTCTAAATTGACCCCTACGCCTGTAAAGGAGACATTTGCCAAAGACTGTTTGAGCTTTGCTGGAAGCCAAACTTTACCCAAAGTGAGAAAAATTGATCCTCGCCTCAAGCAAAGGTTAAGATGTTCTTACGTCTTCTGATTTTGGACATCACTCTATAACTCCCTTGGGGATTTGATTTAAAGCATCTTACGATGCTTTCTATGCTTTTTCTACAAAAGCAAAGAATGGGGGTAGTCCCTCGTCCAAATTCCTGTAAAGGAATAACATTACTAAAAGTGATCCATCTAACTTCGCTAAGTGAAAGTCTAGCTAACATTGCTACAAGTGACGTTCGCATGCCAAAACCCAAAATGGCGATGTTGGAACTACTGGTGATCCAAGAGAGTTTCTATCTCTGAAGAGAGCTCGCTGATGTTAGCATTGTGCAACCCTCAGAAAAATAGTCATGACAGTTTACAAGAATTACTAATTTAAAGCTATTCCTGAAAGGGAGTCAGTTTTCAGTCATCTTAGTCACAATCTTGAGCCTTCAGACGTTCGAACCAAAAGACAACGACATACCCGAAAAGGTAAACTCCAATACTTCAAAGTTAACACAACTAATGTAATATCTTGAGACAAGGAGGGAGATGGGATAGTCCATTTGATCCAAGATACTATCCTGGCATTAGAGGCATATTGCCAGAGACTGACGATATGTATAGCCACACCAGATGATGGCAAAGAGCAGCAATTCATTTTGTCTACTTCCTCCACCACACACAAGTGCCACGGGCTCTGCCTCTAGTTGATCAGCCTACTTCTAGTGATGCCAACTCCATTATAGCGTTGAATAAGACTTCTAGCTCAAATCAAGAGGAACAATTTGTGGCAGGCATGACGGCGCGGGAAAAATATTCTTGCTTTGATGGTAGTTCAAAAGAAAGATTTAGATGAGTGATTTGAGCATCAAGAGAAAATATTCGAGCGGCTTCTATCAGCTTCACAACAACAAGGAACCTCTTGAAAAGGGAAACGATCAGCTATCGAAATTTCCCTAGAAACACATGGATCAAGACGATGCAAACTCAACTCGTTTGAAGTTATCAGCACCTCTTAAGCCGACTCAGGAAGTAAAGGCCCTGAAGGATATCCAAAAATAGCTCAACACTTTTTCTCAGCGAGTAAAACTTAATACGGTTGGAATCACCCAATATTTTCCCTCAAGTGGGACATAGTTCCTTATCTGATGTAGTTCAAGCTGCCAACATTGCATATAATTGATGATAAAGATTCTCCAAACCAACATATCTACTACTTTCACTAACAAACTGGAAATATAATAGGTAATGTTGCCATTAAGGTGTAACTTTTATTAGCACCCTTTAGGGGATAGCCTTCGATTAGTTTCAGAATCTGCCTAAGGGTTTAATCAAATCCTGGGCTACACTAGAATCAAAGTTCCTCTCACAATTTCATGACTAACAATCAAATGTTACCATGACCAAACTCCTCTCCAAAAGCAAAGAGGAAATGAGACAGTCAGGAAGTTCATCGAACAATTTCGCAATCTGACATTACGATGTTAAGATATGTCATTACGGATGCTACTCCAAACTTGTTAGCATAATTTTGTGTCTCCTATAGAAGGTCATATGGGCATTGTTATGGTGTATAAATGAAAGGACTTAATGGAGAAAACTTTAAGGCAATAAAGACAGCAAGGGTAGTCCTCCAAACCAAAAGCCAAGTGCAGTTATTCTTACAAAGATGAACATATGGTGTTTATATTCCATGTCCTTAATAGGGATAATTACCTGAAGCTTCTTGAAGCCCGATGCCCTAAAGAAATCAAAAAGACTGACAATCCTAACTACTACCTTTATCACAGAATACTGGGACACCTGATGAAGAACTGCTATATCCTTAATGATGAAATATAGACCTTTGTCAAGTATAGAATCCTCAAGCTCAATCCAGAGCAAAAGAAAGTCACTGCCAATATCGTGACTCTTCAATTCGACTCTATGCCAGAAATCCAAGCCTAAGATAGCATTGTCCCCATTCCTACTACAAGGATAGAAGTGGTCAGTCATGGCCAACAAAACCGATAAAGCCAAGGTTTAGTGCATCTTACTATGGCATGAGGAGAAATAATGTGGGTACATCTCGACCTTCTATAAGATGAACATTAGACTCTTCCGAAGTCCAAGAGAAAGCACAAGATGAAGTTTTACAATGTCATCTCTGTAATCCTTGGAGAGGAATGTCTGTGAGTCTCTTCATTCACTAACTTAGGGGAAGAGAAAATTGCCATGATAAGGACAAAGGTTGTCCGGTATTATTTAAAGAATTATGATAAGCTAGGACCCTCTAAACAACTTGAACTGACCAAGCAAAAGGAGAGTTGATTTAATAAGGCATTGCAGCATCCATCTGATGATTTAAAAGGTGCATTCTGATCTGATATTATGGCCTAATTAGCCAATACCCCGGCTCATATAACATTGTTCAAACTTATCATATGACACCTCTGAGATGAGGGAGCTATAGACTCAGTTAGAGGAGCTCATTGTTGAGAGTTTTATTTGCCGGAGTCATTCTCCATGGGAAACACTGGTCCTTTTCGTGAAGAAGAAGGACGATAGTCTTTGTTTGTGCATAGATTATCGTGAGTTAAATAAATTTACCATCCGGAATAGGTATCCACTACCGAGGATTGATGACTTATTCGATAAGTTGTAGGGAGCGTAATATTTCTCAAAGATTGATCTTCAATCTGGCTATCATCAGTTGCGTGTACGGGAGATTGATATTTCCAAGACTGCGTTTTTGACTTGATATTGGTCGTTTGAGTTTCATGTTTTGCCATTTGGGCTAATCAATGCACCCGTAGTATTCATGGACTTGATGAATTGGGTTTTTCATCCATACTTGGACCAGTTCATGATCTTCTTCATCGACGACATCCTCATCTATTCAAAGTCAGAAGCTAAGCATGAGCAGCATTTTTCATTAGCATTGTAGACTTTGTGAGAGCACTAGTTGTATACTAGCAAATACGAGTTTTGGTTTTCGAAGGTTAGATTTTTAGGCCACGTTATTATCAAGGAGGGCATTGTAGTTGATCCAGCTAAAGTTGAGGCCATTCTTGATTGGGAGCCGACAAAGACCGTTATAAAGATTCATAGCTTTTTGGGACTTATGGGCTACTACAAGAAGTTCATTCAGTATTTTTTGAAAATTGCTACTCCATTGACACGCCTTATGAAGAAGGGTGTTCAGTTTGTTTGGGGGCCAGAGTGCCAGAAAGCCTTTGAGACTTTGATGGCCAAGTTAACTACAGCGCCAGTGCTGATCATCCTGAGTAGTGATAAGACATTTGTTGTCTACACGGATGCATCTTTGTTGGGACAACGAGGCATTTTGATGCAGACACAGAGAGTAGTGGCATACATTTCATGGTAGTTAAGGACTCATAAGCAGAAGTATCCCACACATGACTTAGAGTTGGCAACAGTAGTCTTCGCATTGAAGGTGTGGAGACATTATCTTTATAGAGTTCAGTATAAAATGTTTACAAACCATCAGAGTCTGAAGTACCTCTTCTCTTTGAAGGAACTTAACCAGAGGTAGTGGCAATGGGTTGAGTTCACAAGGATTACGAGTTCACACTGCAGTATCATCAGGGGAAGGTGAATGTCATAGCTGATGCTTTGAGTAGGAAGTGTCGTTACAGGATTGCAGCTTTGAGGTGTTCATTATATCGATACCTTCATACACTCAGCCAGTATAAATTTAGGCTAGAGATCGGCGGATGCAGTGCATTTTTAGGAGCATTAGCTGTGTAACCATCATGGATAGATCGAATGATCAACGCTCAATTGGAGGACTCTTGGATTCAAACCAGAAAGGAGGAGATTACCAAAGAACCTAAGGCAGATTGGACCATCAGAGCAGATGGAGGCCTTCGGATGAAGGGTCAGTTGATAGTGCCAGATAATCCGTAGCTGAAGAAGGACCTATTTGATAAGGCACACTGTACCAGATATACTATGCATCCAGGTATAACCAAGATGTACAAGGACCTGAAGAGATAACTTTGGTGGAGCAGCATGTGTAGGGATATTGCGGAGTATGTAACGAAGTGCTTTACCTATCAGTAAGTGAAGGTAGAAAATCAAAGACCTACAGGGACTCTATAGACCTTACCCATTCCTGAGTAGAAGTGGGTAGATATTTCGATGGATTTGAGCTTGCCAAGGTCTAACAAAGAAAACAATTCAATTTAGGTGATTGGTTATCAATTGACGAAGTCAGAGCACTTCTTGCCAGTTAAGACGACATACACAACGGAGAGTTATGCGATGATCTTCATCCGGGAAATTGTGAGACTACACGGAGTTCCAGAGATGATTGTATCAGAATGAGGCTTAGTTTTCACATCCTATTTCTAGAAGAGTTTCAAGAATTCTTTTGGCAGCCAGCTATCATATATTAGTGTTTTCCACCCACAAATAGATGGTCACACAGAGAGGGTCAACCAAGTGTTATAGTACATGTTGCGGGCATGTGTTATCAATTTCTCGGGCAACTGGGAGGACCATATTCCATTGATTGAGTTTGCATATAACAGCAGTCATCAATCGATGATAGATATGACTCCTTATGAGGCATTATATGGGAGGCCTTGTAGATCCCCGATTTGTTAGGCAGAGCCGGAGGATAGCTTGAACTTGGACTAGATTTGGTTAGATAAACTTTGGAGAAGATAGCATTGATTCAACAGTGTATTATTGTGGCCCAACGTCAACAAAAGAGTTTCGCAGATCAGAGATGATGACCTTTAGAGTTCCAGGTTGGAGATTATGTTTTATTGAAAGTATCACTAATGAAGGGTGTCCAGCGGTTTGGCAGACGGTAAAAGCTTACCCCAAGATATATTAGTTTGTTCCGGATTGTGGAACATGTTGGAGCTATTTCGTATTGACTCGATCTTCCAGCATTGATGTCGGGAGTGCATGATGTCTTTCATGTTTCGATGATCAAGAAGCATTTACGCAATGAGGATTCGTAGAGGGTGTTTGACACACCAGATTTAGAGCTTCAGGCATATTTAACCACCATTGAGATCCCAGTTTGTATTCTTGTTAGAGAGGACAAGAGACTTAGAAATAAAGTAATTCTGTTAGTTAAAGTGCAATGGAATTGAAAAGGAACTAAGGAAGCTTCTTGGGAGCACGAGGAGGATATGCGTCGTGACTACTCGTACCTATTTGAGTAGGTATATTCTGAGTTATAGTATTGTTGTGTTCATAATTATCAGTTTAGCCGCATTTACATTTAATGTTGGAATGTAGGTATTAACACTTAGCTCCTAATATTCGGAATATATGGTATATACATGGGGTTTCTTGTTTGAATTTTTCACCCGACGTACTAGTTCCGCTTAATTAGGGGTTAAGTGGGAGTATTCACATTCTAGATTGTTAAGTATAAATATCACTTGTGATTCATATATGGAGATTAATGGTAGGAGATATGTATGTGAGGGTTTTCTTGTCTGGATTATCCTCTCAACGTGCTTTTCTCGTATTACTAATATCTAAGGTACGATTACGGAATTTCTAGGATAAAATTCATTTGAAGGCCTGGGGGAGGGGGTGAATGTAAAACCCCATAAATTTTGAAAATATTGTGAAAAATAATTATATTTATTATGGATGATACTATTCTGGGATGAATGAGTATGTTTAAAATCGATTTGAGATCAAGTATGTACATATAAGTGTAAATATACAACTGTAAACATGCATATATGATGGATCAGTCAGCTAAAAATTAGCCACTGGTCGGTCGACTGATAACAAAAATCAGTTGATCGATAGGAGTTGACCAGTCGACTGATGTAAAACATCAGTCGACTGAAGGGTGCACAAACCTGACTTTATTTTCGGGTCAATTTTGTTTCGGTTCGGCCCGTTCATTTATATAAGTATATAAACCCAATGTTTCTCCTGCTTTTCATCATCTTCCACATTAACAAACAGCCACCCTCTCCCCTCAAAACCTTAGAACTTATTTTTTTGAATTTTGAAGATCTTTGAGAAGCAAAATCAAGAGGAGGGCAAGATCGCAGGCTTTTGTCGAAGGAGGAACGTGTCTCTTGCGTGTTTTAGGAGTTCAGCACGACTTTGAGGCGAGTTTCATCTCCTCCAAACCCATCCCTTTGTTTTTACTTGGTTTTATTTGGTTTTATCGGATCTTCAAAACTTAGTTTATGTATAAAGATCACTCTTTTAAACTATATGATATAAAGATTCAATCTTTTTGATTTAAAAAGCTATGAAACGGATTATCTGATTTGGATTTAAGATTTAAACTTGATCTAATATGGGATTTTTATTAAGTTAATCGCTTTCATGATAATTTTGCAAATATAATCATGTTAGGGTAAGTAGAACCCCTTAAATATTTGTATTTATGTTTTCATGCAGTAGATATAACCCTAAATATGCCAGATCAAAATGTACACATGAATATCTTTGAAGGAATTTTTAGTTTTAATGTTTTTCACCAAAAATTTATACTCATAGGAATCTAGAAAACATAGCTCTGGTCGGTCGACTTATCAGGAAGATCAGTCGATCGATAGCTGCGTGGACCAAAAAATTTCTCTCTGGTCAGTCGACCGATTCGAGGCATCGGTCGCCCGATCAATGACTGTTTCCATGTGCACGCTTGTGCATGTTTCTGCTAGTCGACTGAATAGTATGGTCGGTCGACTGATCAGAGTTGTGTTGTGTATGTTGTTTTTGTCACATGAGTTGATCGTGAATGCGATGTTTAGGCCTGCACGTCGACACACGTGCCTTGCCATCAAAGTACACGTATTGGGTATACATTCACACAAGCTATTGAGGTCGTAATCTAACATTTTGAGTTTGTCATGATAGAGAGTGACTTTGTTTCAATTTACAATAATTATGGATGCTGTGGAGTGGGGTTAGTTGGTATTCCTACAATAAGACCGCAGATGGACTACTCTCAGAGTGCGGTTATTAGTATACCACAATGAGATCGTGGTAGACTATACTCTATGATGCATTATTCCGGAATAGGTTGACATGCCTATTTCCGCATTGCGTTTGAGTAAGGTAGGTGATGCCACAGGATATTGTGAGCGCCTTATTCAGCATGATTATTTTCTATCAGAGAACTTTACAGATTTGCATTATGCACCCATGATTGATTTCCTCGAGAGTAGGGTATAAAAGTGAGGTTGTCATACACGATATATATTATGCGAGTTTCTTTTACCGGATTATTATACCTGTGATTGCGCCACCTACTTGAGGGTAGTGTAAGATATTTAATGTGACTTGAATTGGACGAGATTTGGTAATGTGTTGTTCTTTTATTTATTGTTTTATTCATAGGATTTGGAGTTCGGATTTAGCGATTCACAATTTGAGACATGATATGTACATGAGGGTTTCCTTGTTTTTATTATTTCACTTGACGTACTAATTCTCGTGTTGTAGATTACTAAATCTCAATTTCCTCTTAGTTCAGGTTAGATGATTTATATATCTATATGCACTAACTTGAATTTTTCCTTGTTAAACACCGTAAAATTGAATATATTGTGAAAAATTATATTAAATGATTTTTATCATGTTTGATATTATTCTAGGATGAATGAGTATGGTTGTAATCTATTTGAGATCAATTAAGTACATATATACATGTTTAATAGTGTAAACATGCACAACGCACAAAAACCTATCGGTAGAATGCATCTCTTGTTGGTCAACTAATGACAATCCATCAATCGACCGATGGGTGCTTGTTAGTTGACTGGTAGCAAGCCATCAGTCAACCGATAGGTGCACCGAATCCAGATTTTAGTTCTCGGTCGGTTTTGTTTCGGTTCGGCCCGTTTGTGTATATAAGTATATATATACGATATTTCTCCTATTTTCCTTCATCTTTTACGTGAATAAATAGCTACCCTCTCCTCTCAAAACTCTATATCTTATTTTAATGAATTTTGCAAGCTTTGAGAAGCAAAATCAAGAGGGAGATCGTGGTCTTTTCGACGAAGGAGGATAGTTCTTCTACATATTTGGGGAGTTCAACACGTTTTGAGGTGAGTTTCATCTCCTCCAAACTCATTCCCTATTTTTATTTGGTTTAATTTGGTTTTGTCGGATTTCTAAAACCTAGATTATATACAAAGATTACTCTTTTTGAACTGTACGATATAAAGATCTAATCTTTTTTATTTAAAAAGACATAAAATGAATTCTCAGTTTTGGATTTAAGTTTTGAACGTGATCTAACATGACTTTTTGTTCAAGATAGTTGTTTTATTGATGGTTTTACAATTAGAAGCATGCTAGGGTTATTAGTGTTAGACCCTAGAGGGGGGGGGGGGGGATTAGGGTCTTATGCTAATCTAATCT